GCACATCCAAAGACAGCCACTATTTGAGCACGGATTTGAAGAGGGGGAAGGCTAAATAGAAGCTAAAGGATTACGTCTGCTGAAACTACTAGTGATTGGGTTTTTTCCCTTCAAAATTTTGGTCTTGATGCTCCAAAAGAATGCAATTAAAAAATAGGATCTAAAGAATCTGTGAACTAGCCTAAACTCGTACCTGGAACATAGTATGATTGATGGCTAAGCCATAGGGCAAGGTAGTGAACGAATGAATCAGATGAGCACTTTCATGATGAATACTCAATTCAGATACTTTCAGTGATGAAGTAGCCCTAAACTTAGCTATTTATGCATTTCAGGTCTTAATAGAGTTACTTGAAAATTCTTACCAATCAGTCCAGTATAAGAAACCATTGAAGTACTTGACATCGTAAGGGTGATGTACTCCTTGGGTCAGGACAACAATCCTAAAAGATTTGGAAAGTAGTTAGAGTCAATCTTCTCATTTAATTTTATAAATAAGTTGGAAGTCATGTCCAACCCTTATACTTGGTCGTCGGATAAGTTTCTGCAGTTCAAACTCAATAAAAAAAATCTGAACCTTTGGCAGTAAATCACAACATTTGAAGGAGGAAAACTCTTTTTACAAGAAAGTATATTTAGTCTATCCAGTGATCATCGCTGTGCCTAATTAAAATCGATTAAAAGTGAAAATTTCAAGAGTCAACAAAACGTCTATTGAACTCAATTTTTTACAAATCAAGGAGGAAATTGCTAAAATGCTACCTTGCGGGGTAATCGCTTATGCTTATAAGAATCTTAGCCATCCCATCGATGAGGCCTTACTGGGAGTTTACGGTAGGTATATGCTATGATGATCAAAATAACGTCCGAAAAGTGGTCCAGTAAGGCTAATTGACATGCTGGTCACAAAAATCCTATAACCGTAGAACAAGCTCCTATCGTAGAACTGAGAAGGGGATACAATATAAGGTCCAAATCAATCATCAACTGGAAGAGCGAAAATTGCATTTCTAGTTATACCGTGCGAAATGGTTCTACCATGGGAGATGGATATGATTTTTGTAT